ATCTCTGCACAATCAAAGCTAATGCTCAGCACTTTCCCAATTCCAATCTCTTCGTATCTCCGCGAGATGCTAACTGTGAAGGCACGTTAAGTAAAACTAGGGGTTGACACTATTTAAATTGGGTTTCCTAAGTGGGCTTGTTTCATTAGTTTATGGGTGCATATACTTTATGGTGCCATGCTTGGATATTTCATTCCTCTAATGGGCTAACTGAAGGTTACTGGGAGCAGCTGCCCCTTTTCACCTATTGGATCTCGCCCATGACTAACTCCAAATGGAAGGTTGATTTTTTTACGATAATATCAGCAAAACTTATCATTATAAGAAATTTAATAAATATGCTAGTAGAGATTTAGTAGATCTCAAGTCATGAGTTTCAAATAGAAATGTAGGTTTATTCTATTCCAAAAGCGGAAGTTTTATTTATTTACTGGCCCTTTAGTTAGCACTATTCCATTGTGTCCTCTTACTCAGTTATTGGCATATAGCTTTAGACTGTATTTTATTGATATTATTAGTAGTTTATCCTGAAAGTTTTATTTCGGTGGAAAACGGGACGGATCAACATTATGGCTATGGGGGGGGGGGGGGGGGTTGAAGCCCAACACCAATTAATGTTTTCTTAATTTTTGGGTGTATTTCTTTCGTTTTCCCATTTAGCCCTCCCTGCTATTGTTTTAAGCCTAGTATAATCATTCTCCAACCCAGTCCAACTCTAATTCTTGGTTCCACCTCTTGTGGAAACAAGTTAGAATTTACTGAAACAATATATTTCTACGAGTGGGCTAGTAACTTTCATTGCTATTGGTGCGTATAAATGAAAACATGCAGCATGCTGTCACTCAGTTTTCCACTGAGTTTGTTACAGGGCCTATATTAAATATAGTTTCCTCATAATAATAAATATATATTTATATATAGATTTGAAAATCTCACATTTTGGAGGAGTAAAGAAATCGCGGAACAAGATGTGGCATACAATAGTGGTTTGATACAGATAATAATTTTTGAGGCAGCAGACCGTGATAATATTGGTGGTTCACCTTATGGTGGGCAAAGGTCAATTTGTTGTACCTCTGATCTTGCTAAGATGGAAGGTTGCAAACAAGGAGAAGTGATCAGGACACCTTCGGCAACTGATATCAACTGGCCAGTGGTGTTGAATGTAAAGTTTAAAGGAAAACAGTTATCTATCCGCATGAAAAACAGGGAGGTTTATATAAAAAAGACTGGGATGTACAACTTATTCTTCATCTCATGTGATCCATATCTCAAAGGAATGAAAGTAACTGGAAAAACAGTGTGGAAAAACCCAGATGGCTTCTTACCTGGTAGAATGTCACCTCTCATGAAATTCTATTCCATTATGTCTCTAGCATATGTTATCTTATGTTCGATCTGGTTTCTGCAATATGTGAGATACTGGAAGGATGTTTTGCCACTTCAACACTGCATTGCCACTGTTATTGCTCTCGGACTATTTGAAATGTTATTTTGGTATCTGGACTATGCTTACTTCAATAACACTGGATCAAGGCCCATAGGCCTCACATCTTGGGTTGTTACAATTGGAGCAATAAGAAGAACTGTTTCGCGCATCCTTATTCTTTCCATCTCGATGGGTTATGGTGTTGTACGACCCACACTTGGTGGTCTTACAATTAAGGTGCTGCTTATTGGAATCACGTATTTGTTGGCATCTGAGCTACTAAATATTACCGAGTATGTGGGGACTATAAATGATGTAGCGGGAAGAGCTAGGGTCTTTTTGGTCCTTCCAAATGCACTTCTGGATGCATTTTTGATCTTGTGGGTTTTTACTTCTCTTTCTAGGACACTTGAGCAGCTACAGGTATAGAATCCTTTATTAGCCCCCACTGCTATCATTGATATTGAAAAGCTTACTGATGAGACATGAATTTACCCTTCAGGCAAAGAGAAGTTCTGTGAAGTTGGACTTATATAGGCAATTCTCAAATGCATTAGCAGTTACTGTTATTGCTTCAGTTGCTTGGATAGGGTATGAGGTATGTACTTTGTCTAGGCAACATCGACAAACGGCCGTCATACTGATTAATGTTTGTAAACCCCCTATTGCTATGCTTGCTCTTTTCGTGTCCAAGAAAATTAAAAAGTAGTAAAGTGTACTCTTATTTTTTATGTGTTTGGAATTTCTACCAGGAAAATGTTTCCATGAAAAGATTAAGTTTATACATTTTTTCATTAATTGTATACAATAGCAAACATAACAACTCAATTCCTTGAAAACTTTTTTCCTCTGAAAATAAATGGAGGCAAGTTATTTCCTGTCTTCTGGGAAACAAACAGAGCCTGAATTCCACATGAATGCCTTTCTGTGCTCTTGCTTGTGCCATTTGAGAAATATGTATTGCATTTGTTAATTTCATTTCAATGGCATAACACCTAGTGATCTTATGCCCTTGTGCTTTTCATACTTCAGAAGGAAGTTTTGCTGCATTGGTTCTTCTGTTCCGTGTATCTCTGGCACCAATTTGAAAACTTCATCAGGAATGTTGGAAACTTTGTTTGCTATTGAAGTCCTTTAATTTTTAAATACTGTATCCGTGTCAGTTTCAATACTTGATCTACTCTCTCCCTCTTTTTTCCTTATTACATCAACTCTACACCTAACATTTAGGCATGGTTTGAAAATTAAGATTGAGTTTGCGAAGTCTGAACTTTTAAAAAGTACAACTGAGAAGTATTGATTATTGAGTTTTATTCAATCAAGGTTTACTTCAAAGCGACAGATCCCTTCAACGAGAGGTGGCAGAGTGCCTGGATCATCACTGCATTCTGGGACATTCTTGCATTTGCACTACTGTGTGTCATCTGCTTCCTTTGGGCACCTTCACAGAGCTCCCAAAGGTAAGGTTTTCTATGGTAGTGCAAATGCTTTATGGCTAACTAGTTAATTTTGGACACGGGGAGACGTTTAGAGAATAAGGGAAAACATCAAGGAAAATTGTTTTTAAATAACTAAGGGGAAAAGTTTCGTTAATTTTTATTTCTCACATATTTATATTTCTAATTCATTGAATTTGAACAAAATGTTTAAAATTAGTTTGTGGCTTCAATATGTTTTTATTCCCTTCAAATATAGTGCTTTACTGTTTTTCTTCCTTGTATTTATTCTACTTTGTTTTAACTCCAATATTAGTCTCTCAGAAGTTATGAAACAATGAAGTTAAAAGTTTAAAAAGTTATGCAACCAACATTTTCTTTCTAAATGGAGATTGGCAGAGGGACAAAATATATTAATCCTTGATTTGTTAAGATTTAACCCATTAATATACATGCTTTGTTTTAGTCTTGTTGATATCGCTCATAATTTTCTTGCTCTCTTTTGGTTCAATGATGATGCACACTTTGCATGATCTAAGGTATGCATACTCAGATGGGAAAGGAGAAACCAGTGATGACGAAGAAACAGAATCCTTGTGCAAAGAGAGTCCTATAGGAGGTGATATCAATTTAACCAAAGTGGGGAGGAAGCAAGGGACCGAAAGTTGTGACCTTGAAGGCGAAGCAGAAAAAGGCGACGATGACGATGACGATGATGATGATGATGATGGTGGTGGTGGAAAGAGGGAATGAGTACAAAGTTGCCCGTTGCCACATTGTACATTGTCAAAAAAGGTGTTGTCCCACAGATCATTAAATTTTGGAGAAATGAGGAGATATGGAACAGATATGTACTGTATTTATCTGATTTAAAAGGATCTTCATTTACTAATGAAATTTATTGGACTCCTTTAACGTTATACCATGAACCCTGCATTTACTAAGACCGCATTTACGAATTTACGCACTTGGACCGCAAATTCGAATTTACGAATTTATCAAGATATTAACCGGTAATTATTTCTAGGAAAATTTTTGAGTCCAGTGAGTAGGGTTGACATGATTGTGGGTAGGGGTGGAGCGGTCCTGGTTCCGGGTGGTCCTGGACCGACTATTTTGATACAGGAGCCTGGAATTAGGACCTATAATTCTGGTTCCGGACCTTCCGGTAGGGATGGACTGGGCCGGGCCGAACCGGCCCGGAACCATATCGGCCCGCTACTGTGTAGGCCCGGTTCGGCCCTGGCCCCATTTTTGTTGAACCAGACCAGGTGGTTTGGGCCGGGCCCGTTTTTTTTTTTTTTTTTTCAATTTTTTTTCTTTTCCTAGAGTAGGGTAGTAGGGCTGGGTGTGTTGGGAGGTTTGGGGGGTCGGGTGAGGGAGGGGGGGGGGTCGGGGGATAACAAGAAAGCCAAAAAAAATTAAACATTGAACCGGGCCTGGCCCGGCCCAGTTAGGCTCGGACCCGGTATCAACCCGGGCCAGTTTCGGGCCCAAGTACCCGGGAGAAAAGCCCGCCCGGGCCCGGTCCGGAACCGGACCGGCCCGGGTCCATCCCTACCTTCCGGTAGGGGTGGACTCGGGCCGGGTGGCCCGACCCGGAACCGGCCCTGAGCTGAACCGGCCTGGCCCGGTGGCCTGGCCAGTGACCGGTCGGGTAGGCCCGGCCCGAGGGGGTTCCCGGTGTGAGCTCGGGTCACCCAAAAGTCGAACCGGCCCAGCCGATTCGGGCCCGGTTCCGAGCTTTTTAATTTTTTTTTCAATTTTTTTAACTTTTCGGGTTGGGCTGGGTATTTTTGGCAATTTGGGGTGGTTTGGGGGGTTGGGGGTGGGAGGGGGTTATTTAGGAAAATAGAAAAAAAAATGACCTGAGGCCCGGCCCGGACCTGTATCGGACCCGGTGGTAGTAGTGGACTCGGGCCGGTTCGGGCCCGGTTCGGGCCTGGGCCCGGCCGGGCCTCGGTTCTAGGAAGGCAGGCCCGGAACCGGCCCGGATAACCCCGGGTCCGGTTCGGTTCGGGTCACCCGCCCGGTTCACGGGCCGGGCCGCCCGGCGGGCGGGGCCGGGCCTATTTAATTTTTTTTTAATTATTATATAATTAGAATAAATCTTATTACAATTACAATATATTATATTCGAATTGAAGTACATTTATTTCAAATAAGAAGTACAATTGAGAATTAGGATGAATTTAAAAAATGTAATACATTTTGTAATAAAAAATCAATCGGACTCTCCGCCTTCGGTTGTTTCCTCCATAAAGTGGTGGGAGGGAGTGATGGTAATTTCTTGAGTTCTTCGTTGGGCCTTCAACCTATCGTGAAAGCAAACTAGTGTCTCAAGAGAGCTCGGGCTCAACCTCGTTCTAAAATCGGTTAGGACTAGGGGTGGGCATTTCGGTTTTCGGTTCGGTTTTCTTCGGTTTCGGTTCGGTTTCGGTTTAATCGGTTTGATAGAAAATGTACCAAATACAAACCGATTAAGTATCGGTTTGGTTTCGGTTTGGTACGGTTCGGTTCGGTTTGGAGTTCGGTTTACCAAAGTATTAAGGTTTGGATTGAAATAAAAAAAAACTCAAAATAATGAACCAAGAAGCGATAGTAATGAACCAAATATAATGTTAGATATAAATTTGCAAACAATAACAAAACACATATGAACCAAAAATATATAAGCATGCCACATTTGTATGCAACAACAACAACGGGAATGAATAAAATTATATATAAAGCCGAAACAAAAACAAAACTGGTGCTTGTAAGTAATGAACCAAATATATAGTAGTAGTAGATAATAAATTTTAGTTAAATACTATCTACTTAAATCACTATAATTGTTATAGTTGTGAATGTAAGTCTTGTAGTAAACTCTAGTCCTCGACAGTAAAATTAAAGAATTAAAGCTTCAAAAAGATTAACATCAATCAAATTAATGAGAGAAATCTTATATTTTAGTTTGGTTTAGTTTGGTGTAAGTTGATTTTGATTTGTTATTTTAAAAAAAAATAAGAAATTATTTCATTTTTAGATTAGTTCGGTTTTATTCGGTTTTATGATTTCGATTCGGTTTGGTTCGGTTTAATACGGGTTGGGAGGAATACTACCAAACTCAAACCAAATTACAAATGATTCGGTTTCGGTTTGGTTTAATTCGGTTTGGTACGGTTCGGTTCGGTCAAATCGAACCGTTATGCCCACCCCTAGTTAGGACGTTGCCGGCCGCACTGAATTCTTGTTCCACGGCAACGGTTGATATCGGCATTGCTAGTACTTGCTTAGCCATCTTTGATAAAATCGGGAATGTTCTTTCATTTTCCTTCCACCACTTAAGAACGTCAAAGTCATCACCAACTTCATAATCAACATTCAATGTTAGATACAAAGAAAGCTCGTTACCTGAGCTTTGTTCAGTAGCGGGAGTTGCTCTACTTTTTTTCAAAAGAGAACCAAAAGCGGATTTTAAAAGTGATTTTCCTTTAGATGAAGAAGATGTTCGTTGCATGGGAGGGGGTGCATTACCATATTGTGCATGAAATTCATTATACAATTGATGAAATAAATTACTAACCTCGTTGAATTCTTGTTTAGGGTCGATGGGATTATCATCGAACTCTTGAGTTGGAAAAAAAGAAGCATAATAGTAATCTATACAATTTGCCAAGTAAGGAAGTTTATAACGAGGATCAAGAACAAATGCAATACCATATATATGCGGAATATGTGAATAATATTTTAAAAACTTTTGTTTCATGAAATCACAAAAATAACTAACGTAAGTGGCGTCGGAAAATTCACAAAAAGCGCCGGCGAGATTAACAGCTTCAACAAAAAATTCGTTTGTGGTAGGTTTATAAACATGACTAAAAGTTAGAGTTGCGTTATTAAAATATGCCAAAACATTAACAATTTTTTCACAAGTGTCGATGTCAGCCGGGTTTATAATATAGTTACAAGTTTGTCTTAAAAAAGCTGGAAAATGATCTTTATATCTAACAAGTACTTGAATTAAATTATAAGTACTATTCCAACGAATAGACAAATCTTTAGGAAAAGCACAATAATTCACACGTCTATCCTTCAAATATTGCCGTCATTGCATATTTAGTGGAGTGTTAGCCCAAATCAATTTAATTCCCCCCTTCACTACCTCCAAAGCATTTCCTAATGCCGCTAAGCCATCTTGTACACACAAATTTAGAATATGACATGCACAACGTTGATGAAAAAATCTACCCATCAATGTAGAAGCACCACACAATTCATGTAATCTAGGTATAGCAGCAGTATTATTACTAGCATTATCAAAACCTACAGCAAACACCTTATCAATCAAATTATACTCAATTAAAATACGTTCAATGAGAATATAAATATTATCAGCAGTGTGACGATCATTGAATTCACGAAAAGCAAGAACACGTTTATGCATATTCCAATCATCATCAATATAATGTGCAGTTAGACCCAAATAATATAAATGATGATAAGTATCCTCCCATATATCGCTACAAATACTAACACGTCCATCAAAGTTTGCGAAAAATATTTGTAATTTTTCTTTTTCCAAGTTATATTGCCTTATAACTTCTTTTTTAATCGTTTTGCGACTATAATTTCTAAATTGAGGATTTAAAGTACCTTGAGCATAATCTCTTAAAGCAAGACTTTCGGAAAAAATAAAGGGTAAATTTTCTTCAACAATTAAATGAGACATACCAGTCAAATGTTTTTTATCATCATAGGAAAAATTACCAAAGGGTTGAGAATTTGCAAACCTTGATATTTGTGTTTGCTTCCCCTTTCCTTTGTCTATTTTCGCATACTCCACAAAGTGGGCGGACTGAAGATGTCTTTTGAGACTCCCGTATCCGCCAGAATTCCCAAGCTAAACTCTTTCTTGCAATGATTGCAACTTGCGTACCATTTTTCGATTTTTTCGTCTTTCCTTTTTGTATAATTGTTTTCAATAATAGCAGATTTAGATTTCTTATCAATTTGGGTTGTAGTCGTTGAAGGGCCCTCGTCCTCTTGCTCATCATCCGGAGTCCCGTCGCCCCCCGCGTCCTCCTCCCCATCGTCATCCTCGAGCTTCTCTTCATCGATGGTTGTCGGGAATTGTTGTTCTTGTGCAAAACGTGGATCATTTTGGGACAATAGGTGTTGTAGTTCCTCGTCGGACATCATCATACCATCTCGCCGTTGGTAATCCGTTTCAAAATCATCTCGACTTTGAAAAGAAGACTCGGCCCGCGCTTTACCTTTGCTTTTGCGTGAAGTAGATCGAGTCGATGCAATCTCCCTCTTGCGGTTGCGTTGGAGATTACCCACATCTACAGAATGTCTACCACGCTCCATCTTTAAAATTGAACAAATATTAGCAATTAACTAATATGAGAAATGTAAAAATTAACTAGTTTTGTTATTTTAATGAGATATGTAGCAATTAACTAATATGAGAAATGTAAAAATTAACTAGTTTTTTTTACTTTAATGAGATATGTAGCAATTAACTAATATGAGAAATGTAAAATTGTAGCAATTAACTAATTAACTAATATGAGAAATGTAAAAATTAACTAATTTTTTTTACTTTAATGAGATATGTAGCAATTAACTAATATGAGAGATGTAAAATTGTAGCAATTAACTAATTAACTAATATGAGAAATGTAAAAATGTAGCAATTAACTAATTAACTAATATGAGAAATGTAAAAATTAACTAGTTTTTTTTACTTTAATGAGATATGTAGCAATTAACTAATATGAGAGATGTAAAATTGTAGCAATTAACTAATTAACTAATATGAGAAATGTAAAAATGTAGCAATTAACTAATTAACTAATATGAGAAATGTACAAATGTAGCAATTAACTAATATGAGAAATGTAAAAATGTAGCAATTAACTAATTAACTAATATGAGAAATGTAAAAATGTAGCAATTAACTAATTAACTATTATGAGAAATGTACAAATGTAGCAATTAACTAATATGAGAAATGTAAAAATGTAGCAATTAACTAATTAACTAATATGAGAAATGTAACAATTAAGTAGTTTAACTAATATTAATATGACAAATGAAACAATTAACTTTAACTACTTTAACTAATATTAATATGACAAATGAAACAATTAAGTAATTAAATAGATAAACGAGAAGTGTATATATAAATCAAATGTATAACTATATATAGTATATATAAATATATAATGTGTAAATATATTATAAGTAATATATAATATAATGTATAACTATATATAGTATATATAAATATATAATGTGTAAATATATTATAAGTAATATATAATATAATGTATAACAATATATAGTATATAATATAATGCGTAAAGAATTATAATATGAATGTGTATAAGTATATATTTATAAGTAGATAATTAATATTATAATATATAAGTAGATATAATAATTATATAAATTATATATATGTAGAAAGAATTTGGAGAAGATGAAGAATGAAGATGATTGAATATGAGAGATTAAGAGAATAGAGAATTTAGATTTTAGAGAGTAGGAAGAGTTGTAGAAGAAGAGGTGTAAAAAATGTATAGAAAATAGGAGTATAAATAGGTTTTTTTTTGTATACCCCACCCCCACCCCCACCCCACCCCCCTAACCCCCCAGACCCCCCCTCCTATGCTCCCAACGGCTATAGAGCCGTTTGGGAGGTCTCCCAACGGCTAGTAGAGCCTTCAAATTTAAAAAAAAAAAATGTGACCGTTGAGGCCCGGACCGGGCCGGTTCACCAAATTATAAGTCCGGGCCCGAACCGCTACATGACCGGGCCAGGTGGCCCGAACCGTGACCTAACCGACAAACCGGGCCGGTCCGGGCCCGCACAGTAGCGGGCCGGTCCGGTTCCGGGCCGGTTGGCTCGGGCCGAGTCCACCACTACCTGGTGGCTACCCGGGCCGGTCTTGGGGCCACCTATTTAGAACCGGCGGCCTGCCCGATCCTAGGCCTGACCCGGGCCTAGGCCCGGCCCGAATCCACCCCTACCTTCCGAACATGTGCAGGTTTGGTCCCGACGCCCGAGCTTAATTTTTCTTAAACTCCCACCCTTCTGCTCAATGAAGCGCACAATGGGCTGAGGAAGCCTGACAAGGACGAGTAAACTGAACCCCCTCGGCTCAGCTAATCGTCATGCTTACTCAAATCTGGCATTCTAGCAAGAGATATAAGGATTGACGTTACTCCATCCTGTATTGGTATCATCATGCATTACATGAACATTACCCTCTTTCCTCTATGAATCTATGATTGGCATGTGGCATTTCTTCCCAATTTTTGCTTAAAAATGTTATAACTACTTTATTTATTGCTTAATTTTTGTAAAATATATATCAGATTTATTAAGTTTTTATTATCTCTGTAATGGTATCAATATTGTATATATAAAAAATTGAAAAATAAATCATCTTTTTCTAAACAAGATGCACTTCCTTCTCACCACTTTGAAGGTCGTGTACGTGTTGAGCACTTTGATGGCAGAAGTGATGGAAGATGAAACTTTGGAACAAACTAGGAGGCGTAACAATTGGAAGTACGATGACTACATATGTAGAGGCCACATTCTTAACGGTATGTCCGATGCGTTATTTGATATTTACCAAAACGTTGAGAGTGCGAAGTAGGAGTGGCCCGGCCCGGAACCAGACCGGCCCGCTACTGTGCGGGCCCGGACCGGCCCGGTGAACCGGTTGGTTTCCCGGTTCGAGCCATCCGGCCCGGTGGGATGGCGGTTCGGGCTCGGGCCCTTCAAAAGGTGAACCGACGCGGCCAGTTCGGGCCAATTTATTATTATTTTTTTGAATTTTTTTTAAGTTTTTGGGTTGGGCTGGGTGTTTTGGGCCATTTGAGGTGGTTAGGGTTGGTTTGGGGGTGAGGGGGACGGTTGGGGGTTAACTAGGAAAAGCCAAAAAAAATTAGAACTGAGGCCCGGACCGGACTCGGGGGTACCCGGGCCGGTTCCGGGCCTCCCCTTCATGAACCGAGGCTCGGCCGGGCCCAGGCCTGAACCGGAACTGGTCCATCCCTAGTGCGAAAGAATTGTAGAATACTCTTGAGTCAAAATACATCGCCGAAGATGCTTCTAGTAAGAAGTTTTTGGTGAGTGATTTTAAAAATTATAAAATGGTTGAATCAAGGCCGGTTATGGAACAATACAATGAACTCCTTCGTGTTCTTGGTCAATTTAAACTCCACAAGATAGGTATTGATGAATCCTTTGCCGTGTCGAGTATAATTGACAAACTTCCACCCTCTTGGAAGGACTTTAAATGTTCCTTAAAACATCAAGATGAGAAATTGTCATTGGTTCAATTTGAGAGTCATTTTCACATTGAGGAGTCTCTTCGTGCGCAAGAGAATGACCAAATTATGGGTGAAGTTGAATTTGGATAGCCTCGTGTTCACATGGTTGAGGATAAAAAAATTAACCCAAACGATAAGAGGAAATGCAAAAATCCCAAGTATGAAGACCATGACAAACTTAACAAAAACTGAAAGGTTTGGTTTGTTGGAGATGTCAAAAGGTTAGACATGTCAAATGTGTTTTTCGTGTAAAACTAAACAAGAATGACGCTGGAATGAGTGGGAGTGGACATGAACGGTCTAAGGACCTAGGTCCACAGAAAGGAGGTCAGTTCTTGACTAACTTTGATAATTCTGTCCAGAATTATGTATCACTCATTCCGGAATCTTTTTATGAACATGATGATTGTGCATGGTGGATTGACTCGGGGGCTACGAGCCATATGTGAGGATAAAGGATGGTTTGAAGACCTAGAACTTGTAGAGGTCGGTTCCTTCTTACGCATGAGAGACGAGTCATAGGCGTCAGTCTTGGGAAAGGGTGTAGTTATTTTAGAATTTACTTCTGGAAAAACAATTACGTTGTTTGATGTTTTGTATGTATCGAAGGTTCGAAAGAATCTTGTTTCAGGAAGTATGTTGAACAGTTTAGGGTTAAAACAAGTGATTGAATCCGATAAATATATTTTGTCCAAGTGTGGTGTGTTTGTTGGTCTGATAATGTCTAAAGATGGTTTAATTCCAGCTTTTGATATTAATAATGATAAGTAATTAGAAAAGTACGAATATGGAAAGTTGCAAAGGGATTTAGTTGCCAGAAATAGCCTATCTATTATTTGACTCGAACTTGCCTTTTATAGGCGATTACAAATGGTAACTACCAAAGATACTAATGGCTAACTAATTACAACATTAATACGGAATTAAATACATAATTAAGTCACACATTAATTACTTTGGCCGTTATAGTTCCTGGCTGGCAGGTCAGTCTGGCTGGCAGGCTGGACGCTTGAGCTCCCTCGTGCTGGACTCGACGGTGGGCTCCCCACTAGACTGGAGGAAGGCTTCTGACCGGGCTGGAGGCAGGCTCTCGGGTAGGCTGGAAGGCAGGCTCCTCGTTGGGCTGGAGGCAGGCTGTTGGGCTGGTCGACAGACTCTCTTGAGCTTCCGCTCCTTGATTGGCATGATCGGTTGGGCCGACTTGAGCTCTGGGTTGCTGGGCTTGGGCCTGCTGGTCCAAGTTCGGGGCCTTGGCCGATTAGGCTCTGGGCCTAGTCCCATAACCCCATCACGAGCCCCCACTCCTTTAGTCGAGTAGTAGACTCGGCTAAGAGGGAGTAGTTCAAGTCAGCTGCTAATTAAAAAATATTCACATATAAAGGAGCCATAATTGTGGATTCTGTCAATCCCACAATTTATGGAGATTTCCGAATTTTGAATAAGGCGCCCATCTTTAAAAGGCTCCGAATTAATTCCCTTAGCGTTCTAGCATTCCAGCAGCAAGCTTTCTCCCCGACTTCAGGATCCAGGTCAGCTTCAAAAAATCCCTGAAATTCATTATTATTATTTCATAAATTATTTTCGGACTATATTTTATTTTTCCTTCCTTTTCTTTTCTTTCCTTTTCTTTTCTTTCCTTCCTTTTTCTTTCCTTTTCTTTTCTTTCCTTCTTTTTTCTTTCCTTTTCTTTTCTTTCCTTTCTTTTTTCTTTCCTTTTCTTTCCTTTCTTTTTTCTTTCCTTTTCTTTTCTTTCCTTCCTTCTCTTTCCTCTCTCTCCTGCGACCTGCGTGCGTCTTCTCCGAGTCGCCCCAGTGCCGCAGTCCCCCGCCGAGTTGGTTGACCCGTTGACCGGCCAGCCTAGACCTCTATGTTGGTCGGCGCAATTTACAGGGGCTGGCAGTCGTTCCACCTCTGGCCAGCATCATTAAGGGGACCGGTAGCCAGGCGCCCCTCAGTCGAATGATGTCCTTCTCTCAATGAAAGCACCAATGTTGGTCCAAAATAGGACGCTCGTAGGCTTTTGGGAAAGCTACGTACGACACTCAAGCAGGAATTAGGAAAGCAAGAACGAGAAAGTGCCAAAGGGATTTAGTTGCCAGAAATAGCCTATCTAATATTTGACTCAAACTTGCCTTTTATAGGCGATTACAAATGGTAACTACCAAAGATACTAATGGTTAACTAATTACAACATTAATACGGAATTAAATACATAATTAAGTCACACATTAATTACTTTGGCCGTTATCATTCTTGGCTGGCAGGTAAGCCTGGCTGGCAGGCTGGACGCTTGAGCTCCCTCCTGCTGGACTAGACGGTGGGCTCCCCGCTAGGCTGGAGGAAGGTTTCTGATCGGGCTGGAGGTAGGCTCCCGGGTAGGC